CCGCCTCCATTAGTCCCCAGACCTGAGAAGAATGCCGAGCTCTGCTCTGAACCACACCACCGATGGGATCTGTGACCTAGAGTGAGCACATCTGTCTTGCTCGTCAAAATCAAGCTCACTTTTTTTTTTTTTACAAAGTTTGCGGTTGAATGGACAATCAACTTGCTTTACAACCAAAAGTCTTTTTCCCTTCTCACCTCAAGGAGCCTTTAAGAGGCAGCAGTGAAGAAAATATGAAGGGAACGGGGAGCTCAGAAGGCTGAGTGCCTGCTTTACATGCCAGAGGACTGGGTTTGATCTCTGGGCACTACACAGTGCCCCAAGCACTGCTAGTTATGACCGCCCAATCAAAAGACAAAGGGAAAGACGTGGTGAAGCTTACTCTTTACCCAACGGCCTCTGTTTATTCATCTTGCTCATCGTACAAAGGGCAGCATGGATTAAATTCATACTCCTCCATACTCTGCCTTTGGTTTAAAACCACAGGGAGGGGCTAGAAAGACTGTACAGGGGTTAGGACACTTTCTCTGCACACAGCTGACCTGGTTCGATCCCCAGTATCCCATATTGTCTCCCGAGTACTGCCAAGAGTGATCCCTGAGCCCAGAACAGGAGTGAGCCCTGAGCACTGCTGGGCGTGGCCCCCCAAACAAAAACCAACAAATTAGAGTAAAGTCCCAGTGAGTCATAAGAAGTGTCTTTGCAGTGTCTGACCAGAGAGGGGCTGCAGCAGATCCAAGCAGAGCTAATCTAAGAAAAGCAAATCGTTCATCAGAAGGATATTCGTGCTGATCATAAAATCTAGAAAGAGTTAAATGAGCAGACCTAAAGAGGCCAGGAATCATGATGGTCTCACATGTGTCTGCAACGGGAGCTCAGGAACAATTCCCTTAGAGCACTGCCATCAGATGACTCCCTACAAAGCCCTTTTTGAGGTTCTTTGTTAAAATGACCAGAGAGAGTAGGAGGAGGGAGAGATTGAAAGAGCATGATAATGGAACATTCTTCACTGATGGGCATTCAGTTCTGGCAGGTCAAAATGGGAGTGAGTAGAGTCAGCCAGCAGGGGACCATTTTTGTCGGTAGCCCGGTGGGTTCCTAAGAAGAGAATCTATTCGGAACCCCAGGCCCAGCCCCTGTACACAGCTACACAGTCCACTATGCCTAACAGAGAGAAAGTCCTTATACAAATACTGATGACTGCTGTATGCAGCTATGGTTGAGAGTCAGATACATGTGAAGACACTCCAGACCAATAGAAGGGATCTGAGACAGCCTGGGGAGTGGGGAACAGGGGTGATGAATGTCTGGCCCACAGGCTGTAGCAGACCCGTGACATAGCCTAGTCTGGCCTAAGGATACCATGGGACAAAGACATCTGCTTCTCCTTGGCTGCCCAGGTCCCATCTGTCTGTATTATGTGGCTTATGAATGATGTTATAAATATACAAATGGCTATTGGCAGCAAATAAAGGTTCCCCCACCTCTGAACAAAAGGATTTCAAGTCAAAAGTCTTTGGAAATGGAGCATCTGTTAGCTTAGCCTTGGGAATATAGTAAAACTAACAGAAACAACTCAAGGAGAAAGCCCCCCTCACCCCCACTTTTGAATTAGGATTCTCCCTTCCTCCTTGCCCAGTGGGCTTCCTACTACTACCTCCAAGAACCCACCACCCACCCCACTGTTCTCTTGTCCTTTTCAGCCTCTTTTCTATTTCCTCTCTCCATCTCTGTATATCTCTCTACTGATATTCAACATATTAATATCTCTCAATATTCATGTCCTCCTATCTCTCTTCCTCTGTCTCTCCCTTTCTCTCCTGGTGACTTGTCTCTTTCTATCCCCAACCCTACCTCCACTCTATCCCCATGAATCCCTTTCTAAAAGATTTTGATGGCATTTTAGCAAGTTGCAGTCTTGTGATAGTTTTCTCTGATCTTATGAGTGAAGTGGGAATGTTAGGAGTAAAAGCACTACTCCTACAATGCATAGCAGCAAGAGATGAACAGTTTATGGGGCCATGCATGTGCAGAGTATATAAGTGTGAGCAGTTCTCGTCGTCCTCGGGCACAATGCATTGCTACCTACATTTTGCAGGTGGGAATCCAGGACTTACGGGCATTGAAAGAGGTGACGAAGCAAGGAGCAAAGTGCCTGACACACAAACTGATCTGGAGCTGGAGGCCAGGTTTCAATTCCAGCTCTGACACTGCTATAGTTCGGGGGGCACATAGATGAAGCTCCATCAGTCTGTAAGATGGGCGTAGGAGAGGGCGCACCTCATGGTGTGATTGTGAGAGTTAAGGGTTCAATATGTACACAGGCTGTGCCTGACAGCAAAACAAGCTTGCAACATTTGCCGCCAATGGTGAGGTAGGCTGGGTGGAGCAGAGCCGATGGACAGCCAGAGCTAACTGATTCTAGAAGACGAATTTCATGGAGGGGATCTCTGGTCCAGGAGTGAATTGTTTAGAGAAGGGGGGAGGAGGCAGGTAAGAGGAAAGGGAAAGAGGAGTGTTGTGTGTGTGTGTGTGTGTGTGTGTGTGTGTGTGTGTGTGTGTGGTGGGGGGGGGACTGAAGTCACTTCTGGACTTCTGGCCCCACACACAGCCTTGTGTCTGTGTCCTTGCACTACACAGCCAGAAAGTCAGCAGCTGTTCCCAGGTGTTATTCCAGACAGGCTCCCTTAAGCCTCTTAACTCCCAGAGGGCTTTAGAAAGGTATTCCTTGGGATGGAGTGGGGGTGGGGGCGGGGATAGAAAGAGACAAGTCACCAGGATAGAAAAGGATGAGAGGAAGAGAGAGAGGAGGAAGTGAATGTTGAGAGAGATATTAATATGCTGAGTATCAGTAGAGAGATACACGGAGATGGAGAGAGGAAGTAGTAAAGAGGCCGAAAAGGACAAGAGAACAGGGGAGTGGGTGGGTGGGTTCTGGGAGGTAGTGGTAGGAAGCCCATCCTGTGGTTGCAGGAGAAGCAGACAAACCCACTTTATGTGTCAGGACTTTGTCTCAGAGAAGTCCCTTTAGCACAACCACCGGGAGTGTCTTGTCCATTGGCTGTATGACCTGAGATGCTCTTCATCTGGGCTAGAGACAGAAGTGTTCTTTACAGGGAGCGCCGTTCCCCAGGGCAGACTGTGACTTTTTCCATGCTAGGTCTTAAAGGACTCTTGGGAGAGGCATTGGGTCAGCCTGTCCCGTTGGGTCAGTATGATTCAGTCGTACTCCAAGGCAGGGCACAGGACCCAGAGACTGATTATGTGCGAGAGGAAAGTTACCACGAAAAATCACATTGTTAAAGTCTGGAGTCGACCACCCCTCAAGAACAGAGAACAGAGCCCATAATGCAAATCACATAGCGAGGTTTATTGTTCCGGCTAGCTGGGGTCCAAGTATCTGCCCCATGCAGCGGGTTTCAACAAGGATCTTGAGCACTAAATTTAGCGAGTTCTTATACATTTTTTTTTTTTTTGGCCCAAGACATTCAGCCCACTTCCTAACAGTTACATTCCGGAGTCATTCCAGCAATGTAATCTTTGACAAAATCATCTGGTTTTTCTTGTTCCTGGAAGAAGCCTACGTCACTTAGGAGGCCACAAAGCCTGTCATGGCAGTTCTCCGGCTAAGTGGGTCCTAACAACATGTCTATTAATACAAACATTGAAAATCTGAAAGGATAGCGATCAAAATGTTAACAGGAGTTAATCTCCTTATAGGATTTATGAGGATTCCCACTTTATCCTAGCGTTATTAAGTTCTGATAACGGGCGTTTGCCTTGCATGCAGCCAACATGGCCGACCCGAGTTTGATTCTTCCGCCCCTCTCGGAGAGCCCGGCAAGCTACCGAGAGTATCTCACCCACACGGCAGAGCCTGGCAAGCTACCCGTGATGTATTCGATATGCCAAACACAGTAACAACAAAGTTTCCAATGGAGACGTTACTGGACCCGCTCGAGCAAATCGACGATCAATGGGAGGGCCTTTACCTTACTTTTACCCACTTTATAGATACTGATAATAACATAGGACTTTTATTTTACTCTTTTAAAGCCGAACCTTTAATTTTATTTAATTATAGTTTTTATTTTTACAAAGTTGTTCATGATTGGATTTTGATCATACAATGTGTTAGAACCCATCCCTTCACGGGTGTACATTTCCCACCACCAGTGCTCCCAGTTTTCCTCCTTCTACCTTCCATGCTGTCTGCCTTTACTGCAGTTAAGATACTCTCTCTCTCTCTCTCTCCCTCTCTCTTTCTCTCTCTGATAACCTTCCAGTACCTGTGCTGAAACCATAATGCCTAAAAGGAACACAGGACCTTTATAATCAAAGAGGAAAAACTGTTGAAACTAGGTCAAAAGTATGCACTTTGACATGAAAAAGACATTTCCATTTTCATCTAACAAGCAGGAAGAGGGCAAGTGTGTTAGCCAGTGTTCCATTTTTTGAAAATCTGATGACCGTGGGAGCCAGAGACATAGTACAGTGGGGAAGGTGTTCGCTTTACATGAAGTAGGCTCAGTTTCAATCCTCAGCACCCCACAGGGTCCCAGAATACTGCCAGGAGTGACCCCTGAGTACAGAGCCAGGAAAGTAAGTACAGAGTAAGTCCTAATCACTGCCAATTGTGACCCCCTCCCCACACTCCCGAAAAAAAATCTGATGACCAATCTGCCCTCTGACTTTTGCAAAAGTGTAGAAGTATTAATGTCCCCTCAGCCCAGACAAGTTTTATTGTTTGGGAGATCAGGGATTCATTATGCTGTGAGTTGGTGGGCTCTGGGGCCCTCTGTTCCGCAGGAGGGATGCAGGTTTTCTCCTTCAGTGCATTATGCAGTGCCTGCTAAATCAACTCTCTCTCTGCCTCAGTACTCACCTCCCATCTCCCACCCCTTTCTCTTTTCAATTTTAAATGAGGTGTGTAGCTGGCACACTCTTACAAAGGTCTTGTCTGTTGTCTGGAGGAATGACTCAGATGTATCTTCTTTCAGGCTTTACGAAGGCAAAGAACAGATGGAGTTTGAAGAATCCATGAGACGGCTCTTCGAATCCATTAACAACCTGATGAAAAGTCAATATAAGACAACGATCCTCCTGCAGGTTGGTTTATACTACAAAAAAAAATAATCTGTCTCTTCCCTTGGTCATCCCATAAATAACAGTAGGGTGAGATAATGTCTGCTTTTCCTGGAATATGCAGCCCTGTGTTAATTGAAGCCTGGGCAGGCCACATGGTATAAGGATTATAAAGACCAAGCACTCCTCCGGGCGGGAGGAAACAGATTTATTGCATGTTTCCTATGAAGATAACAGACGTTTTAAAAATAGCTCTGAATTTTTTTCTCGCCTGGAAGGAAATGGTTCAAATCTGATGCACTTGGTGTGGTGAGAGTGGTTAAGGGGCCTGTCTCTTAAATCCTCTTTTTATTCTCTGCACATAGACTCAGGGGTCCCTGGTTGGGATTGTAGAGTCTCCTCAATAACCCCGGGAAACTTCAGCGAGAAGGGGCCTCTAATTTAATGGTTCATGGTGCTAATCTGCAATCTCTGTAAATCTTTAAGAAACCTTATGTTTGAGAAAGAGTTTAGTTGTGGAGTGACTGTCTCAGGAGACTCCCTAACTTCCACAGAATGTGCATGAGTAAGGAAGGTTTATGGCTTGTGAATAAGAAAATCCTAACACATCTATGTAAATCAGTGAGTTAATGCCGATTTCCTCTTTTAATCAACATTCTCCTTTGAGTTGCTAATTTAAATACCCCCTGTGCCTGGGTTCTCCAGTCTCTGGTTAGGAGGGATGAGAATGTAGTGGCGCTCTTCTGGGATGCACAAAGCGGGCAGAAGAGGCAGCAGTGTAGCCAGGTAGCAGCAGCTGCGAACACCACAGCTTCCGCACTTTGGTCATTAAATCACTTGGGAATCTTTAATAAATCTGGATGCCTAATTGCCACCACCAGTTCTAATTTCTTCAGGATGGAGTGTGACCAGCGCAAGAGCAGTTTCAAAATGCTCCCCAGCGGATTTCAATGTAAAACAAAATTTGGAAACCACCCAGCTAATAGTTTGCTCTGTTTCAGTAAAGAGCAGGAACCTCTCTATAGGGGGTGTGTAGAGGGAGGCTTTGTCCTGATCATTATTGTATCCTCAGCCTCTAATACATAGTTGATGCTTAATAATATCGGTTGAATGAATGAATGAATGAATGAGCAACCCCTGGGATAGGTATTAAGATGTCTACTTTGTAGATAAAGAAGCTAAAGTCCAGGGAGTTAAAACAGGCTCCTCAAGGCTCCATTTCTAGTAAGTGGTGTGGTGAGGCGAGTCAGATATCTTTTTGCTTGGCTCTAAATAGCCTGAGTTCTGAATTCCAGCACTTTACTGCTCTTCGTACTGTGCATTTAGCACCTACTCAAAATATGGGTGTTTTCTCTGGGATTAGTTAAAACTAATTTTACATTTTTTCCCCTTACCTTTAGCTGGGTTTAAAAAAATTTTCCTAATTCTTCAAATATTAATTGTTTTTAAACAAAGAGAATAATAGGAGCAGTGGACAGTTTGAAGAACTGCAACAGGAATCCAAACTTGCTCCCGTATCAGCTGATATTGGCTGTATGTAGCTGAGCCTCCAGTGAGAGACCACTGTTAGGATATCCAGTGAGAACTACTATGGATGGCTGGGTGCAGTGAGAGAGACTTTACCATTATGTCAGGACTAAAATATGCTCCCAGGAAGCAGAACTGAGCAAGTGGAAGAAGGCATTGGGTGTGCAGGAGAAAAGCTAGCAGATGAGAGAGAGGGAGAAAGAGGGAAACAGAGACAGAGAGACAGACAGACACACACACACAGAGAGAGAGAGAGAGAGAGAGAGAGAGAGAGAGAGAGAGAGAGAGAGAGACCATGTGAGTGTGAGGAAGACAGGTGGAGAACTTAGCATGAGACACTCTTCACATTCAGCACTATTCTGCGTGTGAAACACTTATGTGTCTGGGGGTCAGGAAAAACGGGATGGAGGGAATAAGAAAGCAGGTTAAGATAGAAGGTGGAAAAGCAAGGAATCAAGAAACAACGCTTATCTGGCATTTGTAGTATGTAGGAGACCTGGCCAACAAGAAAGTTCTTTATCATCTATATAATCTCTTGGTCTTCATTTTACTCCTTAGTGACTCAGTTTCCTCACTTTTAAGACTTCATGTCACTCTTTGAGTGAGGATCAATAAACATAGCCTCCAAAAAAGCAAACTGTAACATTCTATGCAAATGTGGAGAGCTAATAGGGTGATTGTGGTTTAGGCATGAGTCATCTTACTCAGGTTCTTATTGCCTGGTTAGCTGTGCTAGAACTGCCCTGTTTTCCTTGGGACTCAGCCCACATTATGCTGGTTTCTCCTCATAGATTTCCACCCCAGAGCCATGGAAGGGATTTCATCTCTTTTTCCAATTTGCTCGTAAGAGCCAAATTTAGCTTCAGGAATTTGCATAAAATCAATGATGCTTCCACCGATTTCTATGGCTGTTGAAAAGTTATAAAAGAAGTTGAAGTCATATTCAAATATGCAAAGCTATGCCATTTGAAAAAGTCAATACTGTTTGGAGTGTGAGAAATGGGCTAATGAGAGGAGAGAAAATAAGGCTGTGGAAATAGCAAACCTCACACAGGAATCTCTTGCAGGCTTGGATGTTTGCTGCAGAAGAATGAGCCAGGGTGCTTTGGATTTTGAGCCAAAGAGAAAGAACTGGGTGGGAAATTGGGCATCCCCACTTGGGCATGTAATATTGGATAAGTCATTTCAGTTTCCTAAAGCCCCATTAAGCTTCATAAAGATGAATGAAGACTAATAATTGAGAGAATTATTTCAAGGATTAAATAAAGTAAATATAGGGCATGTTGCATAGTTCAGTTTAAACGATTTTTAGTCATTGTAGCTCTTCCTACTTTACCTCGTAATAAAGCAGCAGTACTTTAGCCATTTTACTTGAAGGGAATATGGAAGAGAATATTTGTGTTTCTAACCTTGTCACTTGAGGCTAAGTGGTGTTAGAACATTTAGTTATTCAATTAAATCAAGAAACAGATATAAATTCCAGGGAGAATAAATACACAAGAATAGAAGAATGGACTCTAGAATGAGAAAAACATGGAGGGCAAAGCTTGCCCTAGTGAAATATTGCAGGGTAGCTGAGTCTTATTCTGAGCCTGCATTGTGGGTACAGTGGGAAAGAACTGTGATCTATGGGGAATTAAGTCTGGGGGAGACCTCATGCCAGTGATTGACCTTCATGGTTCAGGCATCCGTGGCTAGCTCAGTAGTAGTTACGGTGAAACCCTATCTCACGGCTGCCTTAGGTCAGAGAAGAGCAGATCTGGTTCAATGTCAGCTTGTGAGTTCTGCCACCTAAGCAAGTTATTTCTCACTTCTAAAGCTCATCTGACTTTGTGAATCGCTTCTCACACTTTTCCTTATTGTTCAGTGTTGGCATAGCAGCAGCTCACCTAAAAACTGGAGGACTTAAGGACAACAGTTCAAAAAGGTAGAAAGAACATTAAAAACAATGTCTATTGATTGAGTGCCTACCACGTGCCAGGCATGAAGCTGAGCTCTTGGCCCATAGTGTTTGTCATCCTGCCAGAAATCTGTAAGGAGCTAGTCTTTTGTGTCCACAGGAGGCTCATAAAGTTAAATAATTCTTTGCAAACTGTACCTATCCACAATGGTGGAGCTAGAATTTGAATCCACCGGGGTCTCTTAACTTCAAAGTTAATAATGAGCCAGATGCTTTAAAGTCCTTGTTTGCCCTGACCTCATCAGCATTGTTGATAAAACAAATGGTAGGTTGAGAGGGTCAACACCAGACACTTATGAGTTGGGTGTAGCTGAAGCTTTAGAAAAGAGCATTTGGGGCCCGAGCTTGCTTTGCATGTGGCCAACCTGGATTTGATCCCTGGCACCTCATCGGATCCTTGGAGCCCCACCAGGAGTAAACCCTGAGCACTGCCAGGTATGACCCCCACCACCACCAAAAAAAGAAAAAAAAATCATTGTTTAGAGCCATCATAATGCTCCAGGGTAGGGGTTTAAGTAGAAATAAATGAGCAGCCGTGTTGCATGTCCCTTTGGCCTCATGGTTCTCACTCAAGCGTTCAGTGTTTCTCAACCTCTTTCCAACAGGACTCCCTTTTGACTTTCTTCTTTCCCATGGCCTCCTGTCCTACTGGTTGGACACAGATTTTCATCTGTGGCCCCTTGGAATTTCCCAGGAGGCTTGGAGGGCCATATGACCACCAGTTGAGAAACAATGCTCAAAGGACTCTAGCGTTTATGCCTCCGTTTCCAAACGTGTAGCTGTAGCTGCCACATGGTAGGACTAGAGTATCTTTGGCTGATTGAATAGAAGAATGAAAACCAACTTCCACTCTTCCATGTTTTAAAACTTGTTCTGTGTCAAACAGTGAGCAAAAAGCTTGACACGTATTTTATTCTCATTTTCTTTTTATAACAACAGCCTTATTAGGCAAATGCTCTTTTTATCTCTACCTTACAGAAGAGGAAATGGAGGCTTAGAGAGGCTGAGTAACTTAACCATATCTAAGAAGTGGCCCGTCTGGGATTTGAATCCAGGCTGTGTAAGTCTAGAGTTTGAGTTTCTAATCGCTGTGAGAAAAACTGTCGTTTGAGTAAAGACCCACATCTTCTGGTGGAATGCCAGGTGGGTAAACAATAAGCAACCGTGCACAGCATCGACGAGGGACAGGTGCTGGCTCACCGTTGTGAAGGCAAGCTCATTGAGGATGACTCTTTCTTTCCTCTTGCCATTGTTTTATTGGTATTAAATGTTTGAATATCTGAGCCAAAGAGAAAATGTGGTCCATTCCTAATAAGTGGCCCACCATGGGGACAGGGAGATTTCTTAAAGCACTGAATTTTGTTGGATCCCCAGTACCTCATGGTCCCCAGCCAACATCAAGAATGACCCTAAACATTGGACTAGTTCTCAGCTCTGCTGCGTGTGGTGCAAAGCCAAACAAAACCAAAAACAAATGGCCCACCAGCTGATCGCTGCTTGCCCAGAGGTAGGAGTATTTAACAGATGGAGTTTCACC